TTGGACAGTGTTCATTTAGATAATCACTTGCCTAGACGCAGAAGATTAGGCCTAGGCACTTCTCACAGATCTGCGAAGGTATAGGATTCCATGATTTCCCTCAGCAGCCAGGGTGGTTAGATTTAAAAACTCTCCCATTCTCAGAAAATAAAGGAATGGGGAGGGTCTGTGAAATTGAGGTCGATCTATCCCTCTATTTACATGGCTGACCAGGACCAGGATCTCCACTGATTTACAGCGAGCAGTAGTTCCTTATGCTCTGCTCAACAGTCTCATTTATCGATTACTCTGACTTCAGTTTTTTGAAATGGAAATGGGAGCAGGGTAAGATGTGGGGCAGTGGGGGCTGTGGGTGATGACACTTAGAGCTGACAAAAAGCAGGGGTCTGAAGCTTGAAATGAAGGTCCAGGTCTCCCAGGACCCACAGGAAACAGGTCTGAAATGAGAACATGCACACACACAAGCACACACACACAAACACACCTGTACACACACACACACACACACGCACACACACACACCTGCCTCCTTCTGGCTTTTCATTCAAGGTTTCTAAAGATAAGATGACCTAGTTTCATAACCCAGTTTAAAACCATTCCCACATGAAGACTCCGGTTCCTTAATCTTGTCCCTGAACCAAACTGTGAGGCAGTGCACCAACTGTGTGATGTTTCTAAATGCCTCAGAGAACGTGTTTCTTTTCTTAGAATCAGAAAGGAAAGGTGCTTTGGACTGAAGATCTGGCTTTGTGTGTGTTGAGGCTCTGTTTTCCGCAGCTCTTGGGACTGAAGACAGTTTGCCAATGAGGAAGGAAAACAAAATGAAATCAAGGGTGCTGGGTTTAAAACCAATGTGCCCTTTAAGAAAGATCTTGTGGCTTTTCCACCACTGTTCAGGGGGTTGTTTTAGGCAGGGTGACGGGCAAAAACAAATTATGAAACAGTGGGGACAGATGGGAGACACACTTCCTGGGCTCTCTGCTGCAATTCTACAAACAGGGAAGAGTGCTGTAAGTCCAAATGAAGTCTCCATCGCATGGGAGATGTGACATTTAAAAGAAGATACACATTATCTGTGGAACAGACACACTTCTAAATGGACTAATTCACTCTAAACTGGGAACTTGGAAACCATCCCAGGAGATGAGAATATTTTTCCTTTTTAGGCATTACTTCCTTCCTTTCTAGTAATTTAACTTGTTTTACCCCAACTGGCTTGGCTGACAGGCCTCATCCAGTGTCAGAGGGGGCAGCTGTGGCAGGTTGTCACTGTGGAGGTGAAAAGAGGATGCCCTTGTGAAGAGCAGGAAGAACAAAGTACTGTGGGCGCCTTAAGATCTAACACAATGCGTTGAATTAGGAAGGAAATTTAAAGAGAGTTACTTAGGATTAAAACAGCATAAATCCATTTATTTTTCAAGCAGACTTTGGAGTCATGCCTACCAAGCCTTCCAGGAACTGGTATCTGAGTGCCTGTCAACTCCCAGTGAAATATTCCCTTCTCACTGATTGAGCAGAAAAACTGTAATCAATTCCTCCCAACATCAGTAACCAAGCAGCTACTAGGTCTATGATGCTGCACTCTCCACTGTGAAGAGAAAACAAGCAGAAAACATTGCCGCTCCTTTTAAGCAGCCTAAAATCTGACAGCCATAAATAAGAAAGTCAAACAAAAAAAAATGAATTTGGTTCTAAAATTTGTAAGACAATGCACTATGAACAGAGAGGTATTGTGAGGATACAAAGCAAAGAGTACATCAGATAAATAGAACTGGTTTGATTGAAAAGATGAGCATGGCTTGGCAGAGCGCAAAAGAGAGAATCTCTAGAGGAAATAGCAATTTTCAGACTGAGTTGAGCCCAGTGTCCACTGCTGTCAATAGAAGACTCAGGCGCCATACAGAAGACTGATCTGGATACTCTCCACACACAGCAACGTTACAGGTTCTATCCCTGACATGCCCAGAGGGAAATGACTATGCACAGGCAGCCTCAGTAAATATCTACTGGTAAAAAAAATCTTCAAAGAATTAGCCCATGTGGGGCAGAGAATCCTAAAAGTCATAATAAGCCATTTGAGTAAAACACAGCAGGAGAGAACGCTTGGGATTTTGAGAAACAAGCTAAAACTGAGAGAGAGAGAGAGAGAGAGAGAGAGAGAGAGACTGTATATATCACAAACAAGGAAATGAGAATGTAAAAATGGAATACTTAAAGAAAATTATTAAGTTCATGTACTCAAAGCATTAAAACTGTCTGCTAGAATAGCACCCTCCTGGCCAAAAGTGCAGGTGCCTAAGGTCTAGGCTCACTAAATCAGTATTCACCTATGTCTTGGGCACCCTACAAATAGACTTCTCCTCAAAGCCATTTGCCAAAGTATATTTAGGAAATAATTGTGTCCCCTCAGATGACTTTGACACATAGGCTAGTGTCAGAACATGGTCCTTTTGGGATTCCACAATAAGTAGAAACTGGGGGACTGAGATCCTAATTCCAGGTTCACTCTGACTTTATAACTTCAGACACACAGTGAACAGTTTTTTATAATCTATTTCCTTACAGATGAAGGAAGAAGAATAGAGTAACATAGGCCAGAGAGTCATAGTAGCAGAGGCCTTTAAGGTGACCCCCATTCATTCCCCTGAGTCAAAGGTTATGGAGCAGAGAGAATTTCAACCCAAGAGTCAAGTGGGGTGGGAAAGGAAATGACAGAACCCTCATCATCCCTGCTGGATCCCTGTCTGCCACTGTGGTCAAGACCCTCAGAAGCACAACTTAGCCCTATTACGGCTCTTTACTTTACCAAAGGCAAGAGACTGGAGTTGCCCCCACCTTTTTATAAGCTCCTGCCACCTTCCTTTTTATTTGAAAGAATCAAAGAGGCTCCAACCCCAATCATTGCTCAATAAATAGTAATGCTGAATAAGTAAAGGTTGCTCAGTTCCATCATTGAGTCCAGAAGAGTGGATCAGTGGTAAGAGATGAGGGAACCAAACAAGGGGGTGGAGGAGAGGGAAGGCACAGAGAGGTGACTCTTCTTGTACTTTAAACAGAACAAAGAAATCCCTGGTTGGCTCCTTGAACAGAAGAGCAAACTAAAGTAATACAAGTAACCTAAAGTCTTAGCTAAAGAAAAAGTCACTGAAATTTTTTAACAATCTGCTTTTTCCTCTCTTCTGAAACAAATGCTTTACATAATTGTAATAAATGAGTGTAGCATGTTGGTCACGGTTTAGTTTCTGTTTGCTAACACCAAAGTCAACTCACAAATATATTGGGTTTTTTCCAGAGTAACATCTCATAACTCCTTACACATCAGATCTCTAAGCCCTCAGGTGGACTGTCTTCAGGATAGGCTTTCGGTTTTCCCTCCATTGTTAAATGTTACCTAAGTGTTTCATGCCTTTCAACAGACCTCCAAGATGGGATATCCACAATCAAAGAAAAGGGAAGAAGAGGGAGGGAGGGATAAAAGATCACTATGCAAAAACCAGCCTTAGTTCCTATTTATTCGTCCCTCATCCTGTACTGCAGCCTCCCACCACTGGCCAAAAATACCATTTTGATGAAATATTAGAGTATGTACCTCTCTACAGGAATCAGAAAATAATACCTTGCAGCCAAGCTCTGGCTCAGGCAGCACACTTAATTAATTTAAACTTGATTAAACTGCCCCTCATTAGAATCTCTCACCTCAAAGAAGGCCCTGCTGCTGTAGACTACAGGATGATTTGGAACGTCATGAATATCAAAGTAACTCTTCCTGTTCCACATTCTCATCATTGCTCCATGCATAGCCCTCTTAGGTTTTATTTATGTTTATGCATTTATGTTTAATTATGCAAACACTGGTACAAATATACTCTCTTATAGGTTAAGAGTTTATTAAATAACTATCCCGGAATAAAGGAGAAAACTCCAGGAAAGGAATATTCTTTCTATACCCCAATTCAACAGGGTCAGGCAGCATCTGAACACTCTCAGTATAACAATATCTCCACCAAGGAAGAAGCTATAGTTCAGGTACATCCAGTCTTTTGCCAGGCACTTCATAAATGTGGGCAGCATTTACACTGGCATGCATCCCAAATGTAGGATGTTAATAAGAGAGGAGAGGAAGAAATGTTATAATACAGAGGATATCAGATCATGGCACAGGCTTCCTTTCCACCACCCCACCTTTCTCTTTCATGTGGAGAAAAAGAACATGGATTATCCCCCTCTATTTAAACTCAGTGAAAAGTGCTAAGCAAGGTTCATCATCAGGGAAGGCTGGCAGAACTTCAGGGAAACCCTTCTCTCCCTTGATACCTTTTCCTCACATTGCTTCAGGAAGGGACAAAGCCTTTGGGTCTGCAGTTAGAAACAGTTCCTCAGCTAAGAACTGGACTCATTGAAGACTCTCAGTAAATGTATTTAATCGACTAAGGAATTTCAGAGTGTAATCTTCAAGTCAAGTTAATAATTTTTGTGAGTGTGTTATGGTTAAAATGTTCACATCAGTTCATATACCCAACCTACTAATGCAAGACCCATCTAACTTTGATTGAGGGGAGGAAGGAAAAGCAGTAGAATGACACGAAGTGCCTGTAATCCTCTGGGGGAAAAAAAAAAAACACCCAGAAAAACTCAGCTCAAGCTGAGGAAATCAAAACTTAGATTGCATGATGTTGCACTAAGGGTAAGCTCTATTCATGGTCAACTTGGCAGAAACCAATAAAGCATGCACATAAGGTACTTTTTATCTTACAGCTGCAGTAGTGCTTCAAATGATTCAGGAAGCTTTCATCTTAGTCTTGAACACATCTGACTTCATATAAAGGAGCTACGCTCATAGGAGTTCGGAAATGGAGCTGCAGCTAAGGTATCTGAGGATAGGTCAGTGGGCAATGTTGAAAATTATTAAGCAAGTCTTCCTTGTAGCTAGAGAAATCCTGAGAATGCGAGACACAAAACATGCACTGAAGTGATGTTTAAACGAAAAGGCCGACACCTACACTCCAGTCCAAAGTCGCTCTGGGCTCCTTGGCTGGACCATTTGCCACAGGAAGGCTGAGGGGATGTGCAGGAGCCAGATGCTGGAGGCCTGCCCGGGAGATTGCTTTCCTGCAGCAAGAAGAAAAACAAAAACAAAAACAAAGAAAAACCAATGTCAGAATCTCATACAGAGCTCGAAATTTCCCATGGGGTAGAAACAATGCCTGAGTTAGCCTTCCAAATCTGAAAACCTTTACCAATGTATTGAAATATACCTCTCTAAAGTGCATGGTGTCAATAGAGGGTGGCAGGTCCCAAAAGACAGGGCGGTTGAGGGGACCACTGGGGGGAAATACTGCTTGAGAACCAAAAATTAAAGTAGAGAGAAAGAACAAAGGTCTTGACTCTTCATTTATGGAAAAAGACCTAGGGTTTGGGCAGCCACCATACTTGAACAACTTTAAGACTGCCAGAGACTAAAAGGAAGAAAAATGGGTTTGTGAGTCTCCTACTGAAATTCCTCCATTTACCAGAGAAGCACTCTCCACGGTGGTTATAGCTGAAAGTTCATTATTATTTTGCTCTCCTCTCAAGAATATCCACCTTTCCCTATCCGCCTTACACCTGTAGAGGACTACATAAACTTGAGGTTCTAAATGGGAAAAGACTGCTTTGCTTCTGTCAAGAAATTGCACAACCAACGTCTTACCAAGACCCACAATAAGATAAAGCCTAAACACTAATGAGATTTTAGATTTGTTGAATGGAACATAACAGAATTCAGGTCAGAAAGGAGGGTATGAATCAGGAGAGGTTGAGATAGCCCCGATCTGAGTCTGCAAAGAAATGAAACAAAAGGGGCTACTTTAGCAACATAAATATCATCATTGCTGAGCAAAGGGAAGGGAGGAACAGTCAGAGCATAGTGGTGAGAATAAGAATAGCAAGAAGAAAGAAAAAGCAAGGGATCACCTAGGGAGATCTGCGGGATTATCAGGAATCGTGGAAGTTCAATTTCTGAACAGCCTCATGAAAAATGCCTCACAACGGTATAGAGCTTAAACATGAGTGCTGATTTGTGATTTAACTAAGTTGCTTCCTAAAAGGGAGAGGGGCTTTTCCTCTAATAGTATCTAAGTGTGGTCTGAGAAGTACCTGAAGTAGAATCAGGAGGGTTTTGTGATGCTGCATCTCTGAGTCCTGAATCAGTTGGAGGGTGAGGCACAGGAATCTGCATTAACACACACTCCCAAAGTTTTCTTTGGTGCACTAAACTTCTTAAGCTTTGCTCTATGGGAGCATGTACATTTGTGTGGCTAGGACCACAACTTTCCAAAGCCCATCAAGGGAGCTCTAAAGAAAACATCAGCAATTTCATTATTTACTTTATCTCCATTTGGCTCTCTGCAGCTACTCTCATATGAGCTGAACACTGCAGTAAGAATCTGCCATCTCCGAGACTAGGCCTGCAGACACCCTGGATCCCCAGAGAGGCCCAGCTCCTCAGACTCCTCAACCCCTTGGACTACACAGAGGAACAAGGATCCAGACAGTGGAATGGAGAAAAGGAAAGCAGTGGTGGCCAGATCTGTGGTGAATCCCATTACAAATGGGTCGCCAAAGGAAAAGAAACATGCACCACATAAAGGGGAAGGAACAGGAGCAGAATTTAAAAGCTTTCTTGAAACCTAAAGTACAGGTAATTTTTCCATCCTGCTCAGTGACCTCTGCAAGCTCCCTCTAAAAATAGAATCTGTAAAGTTGAGCAAGATGAACAGTAGCCCCCAAGCCTGAGGAAATGCTGAGTAGAAGCCAGTAAACAGTCTAGGATTGTGCAACCATTAATCAATTACCGTAATGTCAGAAAGCTCAGCAAGTGTCTAGACCTTTGGGTTTTTTTTAAGTCCCTCATATTCCTATACAGGAAGTCCCAGAAATCGTGGGTAGGTCTTCAGTAGTTAGAAGCGATCACATCGAGCTTGCTGGCAGCCTACTTTCAAATGCTCCCACTGGGTAGCAGACAATGTACTTGCTTTATATAACCCCCGAAAGAGTCATTATGAAGATGAAGGCCTTCAATGATGACACAATATTCTCGTTCCTCACTTTCACCCAAGCAAATAATTGGCAACATCAATTTTGGCCCCTCACCCCAAAGCATATTCCGTATCATCAAGCAATAAGAAAGTAACAGTGGAAAAATCTTATGCAGTGATCTGTCATTTCAAAACAATTTTCCTGCACCTATATTGAAGGAACTTTCTTTAGCATTTATTAGGATTTTCTCCAGCTTTCAAGGGATCTGTACGGTGACTCTGAGCTACAGCTTTCATCATAAGAAAATGAGATCTCTGCAGAGGCGGAATATACAGGTTCTACATTTGATTCCTTAACAGTCAACACAACCTAAATTAAGTGTTCTTACAAAAAGTACCAAACCATCCCCAAGTGCAAACTCTTAGAAAGGCTGAAGAATTCCTAAATCTTGGTTTTTGATGAGAAAAACACAACTCTTTCATTTTTTCATTACCTGTCCCAGATAGTTTTGATTAAAAAAATTTTTTTAAAGAAAAGAAAGAAAATTCTACTGTCAGGCACCAGTAGAAACCACAGGACAAATGAGTTTAACTCATCAGAACTGGTAGACTCTGACCACCGAAACCTGGCTACTCTTCCTAATTAGGACCAACAGAAGGAGCCAACTGCTAAAATAATCAAATTAGGATTCAAGGCTCCAAGCCACATGTGTCTATGAAAGACAATGTGGCTACACAATAAGAGACATACAAACATTTAACCTTGAATGAAACCACAGTCAAATCACACTTTCCCAGCCTAAGAATAGAAACAAAGAAGGCCTTTTTGTCAATCATTTATTTCTCTTTGTGGATACAAATTTAAGGCTGGTTTTAAGTCTACACACATAAACATTAATTGGGAGAAAAAATAAGTAAAAAACATCAAACTGCCTGCCAGTTTGTAACTGTAATTGGCCTCGCAAAAGGACATACAAATAGGAAAAATATATCTAGGTATAACAGGGTGTAGGAAGTAACTTCTGAGTAGAACTTTCCATTCTTTTAAATAACGATGGGAGCAAATCCTTGTCTCCAGTCATTCATACATGTGTACACATTTTCTTCCAAAACAAGAAAATAGTTTTATTATATCTCAGACTTCAAATGTAAGTTAGTGAAAGTTATTTTTCTATTTGAATTCTTCTTGGTGGTAGAAGATGACATTTAAGAGTCTGGAAGAACTTGGTGTGTGGTTGGGAGTGGGATGAGGGGGCAGCAGTGTTATGCTGTAATTTGCTCCTATTAAAAAAAAATCAATGGGGTTTCAACTTATTCTTTCCTTCTGCTCAGAATCCTCTCAAGCCCATGGTCAGCAAAACCATGCAATGCCAATGATTCTTTCTATTAATTTCACAACAACACTTCACTAGGGGATGGCTATAATCACAAATCCTTCTTTGAAAAGAACTGTGATATTAACTGTGAAATAATATGAAAAGAAAATGTCCAATAAAGCAGTTTCAATGACACAATGTCGCAGTTAATATCAATTACCTGAAAGACCCCTAACATATTTAAAATATAAAAGCCATCACACATTTTAAATAGCATCATATTATTTTCTTCACTTCATTCAATAAGACTATAAACTCCTAAAGGACAGGCTCAATCCATCTACTAATCTTATTACATTCTAGCCCTGGGGTAGGCACAGTCTATATTCAATAAATGCTTTCTGAGTTAATGAATGAACTTGACCAAGAAGCTAAGCAAAACAGCTTGCTGATTAGATCAATGGTTGAGAAATCTGATTAGGATGATTTCAATAATACCCAGGCCTTACATTTCAGTGATATTCTTTCCTGAGAGAGTCAGGAATCCTTCAAAGCAGCTCTTTAAAACTAAATGCAAATAAGATAGAATCCAGTGTTAAAAAGCATGCGAAACATCAAAATAGCTTTGTGTGGTCAACATTAAAATGAAATCCCTTTGCCACATTCGTAAAGGGCATATGATAGTGTTAATATTTTTACAATGTGTTTAATGAAACATACAGCACATATGCTTCATAAACAGAGTTTCTTACATTTATGGAAAAATATGTGAATAAGTGGTTATTTAGCTAGAGATACCCTTTTCTAAGTATCCATTTTGCAAAATTCTCTCAATTTCCTCTGGTTCCAGTTTCAGTCTGATTCTAGGTTTATGTGGCTCCCATTTTCTATGTGTCCCCATCTTGCCAGATCCCTCTCTGGGTGATGCTACATGTGAGAATAGAATCAGGATTCTTCTTGCGGAGTAGAAAAGCACCAGGGAATCAGGAATTCTCTTACCCAGAACACCTCCTAAAGATTGACACATTAGAGACTGGTGAACTCATCCTGTTGTTCTAGAAAACGAACCAGCTATCTAAGAAGTTACTCAGTATCTTCGGTTGATTCCCCAAGAGATTTCTTTTTTTATATATATCCTTCAAGATATATGTGCCGAACGTGCAGGTATGTTACATAGGTATACACGTGCCATGGTAGTTTGCTGCACCCATCAACCTGTCATCTACATTAGGTATTTCTCCTGATCGTATCCCTCCCCTAGCCTCCCACCCTCCCACAAGCCCCAGTGTGTGATGTTCCCCTCCCTGTGTTCATGTGTTTTCATTGTTCAACTCCCGCTTATGAGTGAGAACACGCAATGTTTGGTTTTCTGTTCCTGTGTTAGTTTGCTGAGAATGATGGTTTCCAGCTTCATCCATGTCTCTGCAAAGGACCCTAGAGAGTTCTTAATCACTTTGTGTATCGTTGTCTTTTTCCTTACACCACATGGGCACTAACTTTGCTTATATTCAAAGCAGTTCACAATGCTTTTTGGTCGACCTAGATAAGCTGCCTACAACGCTAAGGATAGTCCAAACAATTTAAAAAAAAAAAATTGTCCCAAGCCCCACGCAAGCTTGACCAGTGATTTATGTCAGGGAACAAACAATGTGTACTTAATTATTTGAGCCTAAATCCTACTTCATGTTATATATGAACTCACAGTATTTTTTTATTATTTTAATGTACCTTGAAATGTTGAAGAATGAAATTACTATTGAACCAAAGGTTGTGGTTT